CAGAGGTGTTGGTAGTGATAAGCAATAAACAAATATCTCGAGTGCAATGGCATATTCTCCTGAGTGTGTGCGTGTGCACCAGTGCCATTAATGAAAATGAGAGCACTGTGGGGAGCTTCCAGGAGAGATTATATCTTTCTGTATAGGATAGGAGGAGAGGCTGTTTTAATCCACCTCCTATGAGTTCCACTGGGGGCTCTGTGCCTGAAACCATTGCAGAACCTGCACAGGAAGGTTTATTTCTTATGGACTTTTTGTTTGGAAAACCTTTGCCTTTCCTCCTTCAGTTCCAAAGAGGTTATCAGGTTGTTTAATGGAAGGGCTTTGTTTTTAGAAAGTAGAGTTTGCACTTCATTGCCTCGATTGCCTAGATTAGTTACTTTAGTTCCCATATCTCAGCCATGTCAAATTTGGAAAGGTGTTGCCTTTCTCCACCCCAAAATGAAGCCTTCTGGCTCTGAATAATGTGTGGGAACCTAGCATGAGGCATTGGGAGGTCATACTACATATAGGGGACAGCAAAGGAGAAGACACAAGGTGGGAAGTGAGTAGAAAATGAGTTGGGTATAAAGTATGCTCTGATCTGTATTTCACTCTGGTGACTTAGTGGAGAGCTGCCATTCTAAAAAAAAACCAGGTATGTTTGGGAAAGACCCAAGAAACTGGTCAAGCCAGGTTGGGGTCAAGTCTAGTGTTGAGCTCCAGAAGAAAGAAATAGAAGGGTGCATCTCTTTGCCTTGTGTTTTGCCCTAACAAAGTACCTAACTAACCAGTCGCCTCTGCAGAAGGAATTTGCTTCGTGCTTACCACTCACCACTGCAAATCCAGAGCTGTACTGACTAATGCCACCTTATCAATGGTGCTGCAAGAGAACAAACCACTGGTATGACCTAAAACATTCCTGTTCAAAGGCTGCAACCAAAACTGTCTTGCTCTTGCAAAATGCTGCAGCATCCCATCAGGAAGGAGAGTATTCTAAGGCATGTCTTATCCTTAGTGCCCAATCAGTGCCCTCCCAGTCTACGTATTTCTGTGGCAGGTCTCCTCCCAAAACAGCATCCCATCTTGGAGTCTGAGAAGTATCCATTTCTGGGCAGTTTCCTAGTAAAAAAAAAAAAAAAGTTACTATGGTTAAAAGTTCAGCTCAGATTTCTTTTTTTCCTGCAAGATAAGATATTCAGTCACTGACACTGCCCACTGGGAGAGGAATGGTGTCTTCTATGAAAAATAATTAATGGAGCTGCATGCTAGCTAGCTTTGTATTGTGCAAATACCAGGGGGATAACAGAGATCTAAACTCCAATGTAAGCAGAGTAACACAGAGAGTAGAAAACAGATTACTTAGCAAATTTACAAAGAGCAGAATAAATGCTCTGGTACAGCTGTTATTTCAGGCGCATTTTGGAGTGAACGTTCAAACAAACATTAAGCTGAAGGGACTTGGGGAAATCCTGGTTTCATGTCCAGGAAGCCTGAATCTGCAATAATTAAAGATCTTCCCTCCACCATGTTGCTTTTGTGTAATAGCTAAACAAAGCAGAGACCTTAGAAGTTGGGAGGGACACCGTCTCATCCACAAACCAGGGCCGCAGAACAACTGGTGGCCAGAAATGAAAAAGAAAAGAAAGCAGATTGAGTCTTGTTGTTTTGTCAGCTTTGTAATTAGTGTTTGTGCAGGAGGTAAGTCTCAGACGGAGAGTAGCAGGCAGGGTAACACAGGCAAAGACCATGGCATTATAAAAAAGAACAGCAATGCAGCTTCGCTGAGGGTGTGGGCATACAATACATTTGCTTTGGAGTATGCTGTTTATTCCAGAGAAAAAGTAGAGTGAACACACAATGCACAACATTTATTCTGGAGAAAATGCTGGTCCCTAGGGGACTTCTCTGAGGAAGCCTCAAGTAAATTTACTGTGGAAAAAGTTTCTCCAGTATACATCCTTATGCGTATACTATCACTTCACTTTGGGGTAGCTATGTGCTTATTGTATACCAGCTCCCCTCCAATCTAGTGGCCAAGTGTTATAATTGTGCCTGTTTTAGACAGCTTGGGACCTTCAAACAATTTGCCCACTCTTTGCTACAGAGTAAAATCCAAGTTAAACATATTGTGTGTTTGCACCCTGAGCGCTATCCTTCCCACCAATTCACAACTCTCGTCCCTTGGCATTACTATCAGTGCATTTCTCACCAAAGTATTACGTACGTGGCTCTAAAGCTTCATCGTAACAGATCTACCTTGCTTTCTGCAGGACTTTGGCAAATCCTTAAGTATTTCAGAGGGGTGTTGTTGTTCACAGAAAGTTAGTACTGTGATTGGCAGCAGTGCAGTAGCAAAGTCTGCATTATTTTTGTGGCAGTCCTAAAGTGCGCTTATGAAACACTTGGAAAGCCTCTTGTTAACGCTTACAGTGTAAAGCCAAAGCCTGAGTTGGTACTACTATTGGCAATGCTGGGAAAAGAGGAACAGAAATACTTTAGCTAATGACTGACCAATCGTGGTGATGTGAGCAAAGAATCCCCCTCATAGCCTTCCTCAGCCAGAAGAGTGGTGTCTACAGGATCTTGAAGAGTGGCGGGGAAAGCCCAAATGACAAAAATCCCACGCACCCCTACCCTTTTGCTATGATGCTTAGCTTATGATGCTTTTAACTGGCAGCCAGTCTCGTGGAGTGAAGGAGATGTTGAGGATGGAGAAAAAGAATGGTTACCTCCTTACTCCAAGAAAAAGAAATCCCTGTGCTAAATATAAATCCTAAAACATTGCTTCCTTAATTAGTGGGGCGGGATGCCATAGAAAGCCGTTGGGATTCCACCATTGCAACCGAGAGGAGGGTTAGCCACCCCCCACTCCCAGCTTCATCTTTTTGCTGCAATGTATTCCCCAGGAAAATACACTGCAGCAAAAGATGAAGCAGAGTTTCGTTTTCATTGAGAATCCTCTGCTCTCTCACCCTCAGTTCCAGCTAAGGTCACTTGAGTCTCCTATTTGAACTCCTGCAAGCCAGAAATAACAGCTTTTTTGGCCAGTCCATTGCTTTAACCACTAGATACCTGGTCTGTGTTTCTGCCCCACTCATTCATCATCATTACCGATTTGCTTACCTTTTGCATTGATGTATAGAGATTTCTTCCTGCTATACTCTCTGGAATTGCATTGGGAATATCATAATCTCTGGACTAGCATGGGGTGAAATGGTTGTTGATGAATTATCTTTGTGAAAGAAACCTTTGGATATCCTGCTGCCCTGGGAGCCTCTTAATTCACTGTTGGTGACTCACACGAATGCTTATGTAAGGGCTGATGTTAAACGTTGCATATTCCAACACAGATACAATAATTGTGTACAATCCCTGAGTTAGAAGTAAATCCTATTTCAGGTAATGCTAACATTAGTTTCCCCAATTTGGCTCTAAATCATCCAGTGTGCAACTGCTTCTTTTGTTCTTTTCAATTCTGTCCAGCTAACATTTCTCTCCTTTCCCCTAACCCCTACACAGCTCTTTCCCATTCTGAAGGCTAAACAATTAACTACAGTGTGGTTTCTGCTCTCTCCTACCCGCTCCCCCCTTCCTCCATGTGTTTTGCAGCCCATCCCAGACACAAGCCCCATGAAGCGCTCCATCTCCACATTGACACCACAGCGTCCGCACCCCATGCACCTGTACAACTATTCCTTGGAGCGCATGCCACCAGACCAGGTCCACCACCACCATCACCATCGCTGCCATCGACGGAAAGAAAAGAAGCAGAAGTCCATGGATAGGCCCTCCTACCACCTGGCTGATGGAGATGCGGGTAAGAGCTTTTCTAAGCCATCTTCTTTCATATACTCCATAGAACTGTACTGTGAGGATCATTTCTCTCTAACCCTCATCCATTCACATAACACAGGGTTTGGGAAGGGTATTTGATGGGGCTTTCCGCCAGGTTAATGACTAGTGGTGCCCAGGAGTGGGACTTACATTAAGTGCAGGAAGGAAGGGGCTCCATTTGAATGGGATCACTGTGGGGTACCCTAGACTTCTTGAAGGAAATTTGCTCTTAGTTGAGTATTTCTACTTCTGTCACAGCCTTAACCAATTACCTTGTTACAGTGGCCCAGCCAGGTGAGACTTCTTCCAGGGATAAGAAGCAGGAACGTGGCAGGTCCCAAGAGAGGAAGCAGCACTCCTCCTCTTCCTCTGAAAAACAACGCTTCTACTCCTGCGACCGCTATGGGAGCCGGGACCATTCTCAGCCCAAATCTGCCGATCATAGCCGACCCACCTCACCCAACGGGGGACCAGAACAAGGGCCTCACAGACAGGTGAGGAGACGCTTGGTGGGAGAAGGTCTGAGGTCTTCAAGGAAGGCCCCAGCTTGAAAAAAAAAAAGAAAGAAACCAAGCAGGGTTGGGAAATGGAGCCTTTACAATAAGCTTGCTGGTTCAGATCCAGTGCAGCAACTGAGAATTGTTGCCACCAGAGGACTTCCTCTGATGACCTCCTGCAAAATGTGTTTCTGGTCTTAGTCCAACTTATAGTGTGCCCATACCAGAGAAACCACCCTCATGATTGGCATTGTTGTTGACAGTCCATGGGTATGGACACACCTGTATTTGGAGCTGTTTCAAAAGGGCAGTAGCTGTTACATTCTAGTTGTTGGACATGTTACAAGTAAGGAATGACACACATATAGTAAAATTGCTCAAACTTTAACTGCCTTTTGGAAATGTTACACTTTTTGAAATGACTCTAAATATACATGGGTCCACATGGTGTGCAGAGTAGCCAAAGGCTAACTGAAGCCTCCAGACAGGCTTCCCTTCCAAGTGCTCATGGAGAAGTGGTCTCACCATATGAGAACTAAAGCTGGCCAGGAGGGCAGAAAGGGAAGTTTGCCCAACTCCCTTTCTTTATGCTGAGGCTGTTGTACAGACTAAGATTTTCAGTCTCTAGCATTTTTAACTGTGTTCCTATTGCTCCATTTTATATAGGGCTTTATGTCTACTTGGATGTTGCACAGTTGCACTAACCAAAGAAATCCCGAGCACTACAACCCCTACCACAAAGACACAATCTAGGACAGTTCAGCAAAGAGCAAATGAGTCCTGAGAGTCCAATCCTACCTCAGCTCCCCCTCACTGACTTCTACAGGGTTCCTTGGGTGTAAGTGATGGCAGGATTATATAAACTTGAAAAAGGAGAGTTCTCAGAGTGAAGGGAAAAATAACAGGATCAAAAAGAAAATTTATCTGAGGAACAGATGACTATGGGATAGGATAAGATACACCAAGGGAGCTCAAGAGATGCAGCTGAAAGTAGCTCCTGACATAGTATGATCTTTACAACTGGCAAACAGTTGTGGATGAGATGCACTTACAGAAATGTTCCAAAGCAAGTTGGAAGGGCACCTAGTGCCATCAGCATGTCAGCTGTACAGGAGAAGAAAATGAGATAAATCTTCCATTGTGGAACTGCTGCTTCTATCTGTTTCAGTTCTGTCCAGGCAGCATTTCTCTGCTTTCCCCCAGGTAAGGGAGGGAAGGGAAGGAAAACTAGACCAGAAATGGAAGCTGAGGGGGCTCAGCAGTTGCCAGATAGACTCTTAAGTGCATTTCAAAATAATGTCTATCCATTGCTCTGGAGGGGGAGAATGCTGCAGCCAGTCTGAGAAGTCTGCCTAAAGTTACAACCTGTCAGTGGAGCATGACTGACGGCTTGTCTTAGCTGGGCTGATTGGTACTGTCAGCTTCACAGCCATGCATCCCCACGGCAATGTCAGCTCTCAAAAACCGGATAGCTGAGATAAAGAGAGACTCATGCTCACTGTGTGGGTGAGAGCCTATGGAATAAAATAGGGAAGGCATAAAAAGGCATAATAACCTGTGCCACCCATTCAGGATTTCTCTTTTCCCTGATGTGTTTTCCACTCCTGGTCCCTATCAGGAAAATAGGTTATAGCCTCTGAAGCTGCATGTCAGCTCTAACACATGCTTAATGCCTTACCAGTGTTTACTACACTTCTTTGAAACACATTGCGATATCCAGGGAATGGACCACATGTTGTAAAATTATTGTACCTTTTTGGCTCTTTGGTTGAGTGTAATGTAAGTTTGATATCAGACAGATCCAGAAGTGCACCCTCTCCTAGGAGGGACCCAAACACAGTGATCCAACAGGTTTATTTCAGCTCCATCTCCTGAGCTCCCTCAGTGTATCTTAGCCTATCCCATAGTCATCTGTTCCTCAGATGAATTTTCTTTCTGATCCTGTTATTTTTCCTTTCACTCTGAGAACTCTCCTTTTTCAAGTTTACAAAAAAAGCTTCCCAGAAGTTAATAGTTTTTTCAGTAGTGAATTCAAGTTGCTCTTTATTAAGCCATTTGCACAAGTCCTCTAACATTTAGTTTGTCCATCATGTCTCTTTAAACACAAATACCTGAGATCATTTGGAGGAGGGAAGAAAGAAGCATCTTGTTTCAATGCCACATATTTTCTTAATACAAGATAGTATTGGAAAAAACTCTGTGCCCCCCAACTCCCTTCTGGTGAATTCAATCTTCATCAAAAATAATTACCGAGCTCCACTCCTGTGCTCCAGGCTCAGATCCTGTCAGTATTAATATGAACAGACAATCTTCAAGTTGATAGTTTGCAGAAATTGTCTCTGGGTGTCTTGACCCACCTTACTAGCTAGTTCCACAGTCCTGTCAGCAACAGAGAACTACTGTCCTTGGCCAGCCTCACCCTGATGCTTATTTCCCAGAATCACAACTAATGGTAATGGGGATTGATGAAACACATCTAGACTGGGAGACAAAGGACAGAGGTTGAGAGTTTGGGGTGCACAGCTTGAGACACCTTAAAAGGGGCCAGCTTTTCAGTGAGACCCAGGCACCTACCCCTTGAAAGACATCTCATGTTGGACACCCAGTATTGCTAGTCACTTTTGAAATTCTTGGCCTTAAGTTGTGTGTGAATAAGTATAGCCATTGAGGGGAGATGCATGGCAGAACTAAAGAGGAAGAGGAAGAAGGTGAAGAAAGAATACCAGAAGGCACAGCTTCTGTATACTAAAAGGTGCAAATCACAGGAAATATGGCATAACAAATACAAACTACATATGAAGCCACATCCAAGGTTGTCAGCAAACATAGCTCAACCATGTACTATGACTCCCTTACCCCTTACATACAAATATCTGCGAATGTTAAATTATTTATATATTTGGATTTCAGGGGGACAAAGAGAGAGACTTTTGACTTTTTAAAATGTTATTATACAAATATTAAAATATCTTCTATTACCATTAAGGTAGTACCATTACTACTCATATCTTCTACTACCATTAGATTCATCCTTGAATATGCATTAAAAAAATGCACAGAACAGAACGGGTATTTAAATAACCTGTTACTTTTATGTGGATGAAGAGCTTCAGTTCTTAAATAAACGGTGTCTCGATCAGATGGTTTTTTACAAAATCGGAAGTAAGCACATTCTCATAAAAGCACTCTTTAAGAAGCTCATGTACTTCCATATGATGTTACAAATAGAAACACCAGCACAAGGACTTGGCTCTAATATAACTGGGTTGACTTCCACAGAATTACTCACTTTTAATAAGAACAAGATCTGGCCAAGAATGGAGACATTTATGTTGCTATATAACCTGAGACCCAAAATCAAATATAAAACTATTGGAAAGTAACAGACTCTAAGTTTTGCCCCTTAAATTTCCCCTTGTAAAGAATAAAGCTGGTCAAAACAGTTTTCATTTATTCCCACCCCCCCAAAAGTGGCTATTTTAATTCTACAGAAATTTTCACGGAACTACCTACAAAACAAAACGTATTGTTTATTGAGAACACAGAATCAGAAGCTTGATACTTTCCATTCCTGAGAACCTGAAACACTGTGAAATTATGAACAATTTTTCATTTTTTGTATGAACCTTGTACAAAAAATCAAAACTGAGTGTTTGACCTGCTCCATTTAATAGCTCAGGTAAGGGGCATGTAAAGACTATGTACAGTGTGTATGCCTTTCCTCTGGACAGTGTCCCTTTCTGTTGGAGCCGTCTTCTAGTTTGCGTCCTACTAATGCTCTGACTCTTTCTGTTCTAACTTACCGCTCACAGTATTTTGGTTTTCTAGCTCTTTACATTTCTGTTTTAACTGCTTCTTTACAACCTCCTTCCCCTGACTGTGCTTGTCTAAACTCTCTCTTTTTCGTTTTTCTTTCCTCTTGTGACTTGTCACTCCCTCCTGTCGCTTGTCCTTCTGTTTTATACCCACGTGCCTTTGTGTCTGTCTGGTGTTTCCTTTTTTATTTTTGATTTGCTTTGTTCCAATTTTCATGTAGGGTAGTGGTTCAGTTAATGGGAGCCCCTTGATGTCAACATCTGGTGCTAGCACCCCGTGCCGTGGTCGGAGGCAGCTCCCGCAGACTCCATTGACCCCTCGCCCCAGCATCACTTACAAGACCGCTAACTCCTCGCCCGTGCACTTCACCAGTTTCCAAACCGGCCTGCCCACTTTCTCCCCGGGACGCCTGAGCCGTGGCTTGTCTGAGCACAATGCATTACTGCGTGGGGACTCCCAGAACCACTCACACACCATGGTGGCTCGCATCGGTTCTGACCCTTACCTTGGACACCGAGATGATAGTGACAGTCCATACCGTGTTGTTCCAGAGGACACACTCACCTTTGAGGAGGCTGTCGCAACCAATTCAGGAAGGTCCTCAAGGACTTCTTACGTCTCGTCCTTGACTTCCCAGTCTCACCAAATCCGCAGGGTTCCCAATGGCTACCACTACACATTGGGCCTCAACACAGGCCCTGGGACAGGCTCCAGAGGACACAGCTATTACCATGAAGCTGATGAGGATGACTGGTGCTAGCATAAAGGCAAAACCATTGCAGGTGTGTGCTTTTAAAATTGATGAGTTTTATCATCTGGCAGTCTGTACACTCAGACATGCATGGTACCCAGGGCTGGGGAGTGAGGAAGCAACCCCCAGAAGGAAAATCCCACTGCAAGAAGTGTGTCTGTGCCCAAACCTGACACTGTCTGAGACACTCATTCAGCCTCTCTCTCTCCTTTTTCTTTTGCACTAGACAAATTAATAAATAATGAAAGATCGTTATTTGGGGAAGATGGGGGTAGAGAGAGCATTCTCTTTCTCTCTCTCTCTCTCTTTTCCCTCTCTCTGTCTCACCTACCTACTGCCTTGTCTAACATAATGACATGCACCAGATGCCAAATCTGAAAATTATGTGAAAAGCTGAGAGAGAGGAGGTCTGAACCCTGCCAACAGAAAAAAAGGACTGTTGATCCTTTTCAAGATTGGGGTAGCTTCTGCTGGGCCTTTTTTTTTCCTGTCAGGGTGGGCATTGGGGATGAGAATTGACAGTCATGTACAAAATCACATCTGTATTTTATCTTGTTCAAATGATAAGAAGGAAGTGATCTACCTAAGAAACTGAGAGAGGAGAAACACACATCTGAACAGAGGACAATCTTTTCAAGACTTGATGTTCAATAACAGCAATTGTTTTCAATGGAGCCAGTAACAAACCTTCAAGCTGACAAAGCACTCCGTCGCCTGTGACTCTCTGGTGTAACACTCTTCTGTGTGGATTTATTTTATTTTACTTGCCATTTTGGGTCCTTCACATTGACATACGATAAAGCCACAGAGAGCTACTTTGTAAGGACTGTTTCCTTGCTGCTGGTACTTTTATTTCTGTTCCTCTTGTCAACTGCAACACACCCTCACTGTTTTGTCTTGTTTACAATATAAGCTTGATTTAGCAAAAAAGTAAAAAAAAAAAAAAAAAAGAAAAAAAAAAGAATAAAACGTGTAGGGTTGGAAAGGAGAAATGTAATTGGTTTTATATCAAGCTATTAGATAGAACTTTAAATTTTCATTGTGTGCATTTTTGTAAATTGTACAGTAAAAAAGGAAACAAAAAAGAAAAAAAATACTCTTTATGTAGAAAATTAGTCCTATTGTCATTCCAGGTCCCACTGTTTCTATTGAATGCTCCAGTTGTTCACTACTAAGTGCCTAACCTTTGAAATCTCTCACAGCGACGATGCAACCTCTTGCTTCAACGCATCAGAACTTGGGGAAGAAAGTTGGGGGGAGGTGAAAGGAGGAGAGCCTGGAAGAGTTGTTTATCTCAGATAATCTACTGTGCATATGATACCACTTATATGTTTAATGGACAGTGTTTTCAAGTAGCCAGGTTGGAAAATTACCGGGGGGAGTAAGGGGTGAAAACATTTTTAAAATAATTTTATTGCTGGGATGGGAGGGGAATAATAGGGGCAAACAAAACTGGCCTTTTCTCATTGACTAGAATTTAGGGTCCTGCAGGAGAAATGCAGGTAAAAATATAGCATCAGCAGTGATGCTTTCACAGAAAACTAAGAGACTTTCACACTGCATGTCTAGTCTTATGTTGGTTGTGAAAGTTCTGCAAATGTTTCACGGTGCGTAGTTTGTATCGAGGGCAGTTGGAGAGAGCCTCGTTGTTATGGCCTGTTGGGGAAAAAACTGACTCTCAGGGATGAGATTTCTGTATTCTTACGATTATTCTTATGTTGGATTGTTTTATTTAATTTTAAGATTTTAGTTCTTTTTTTGTGCACGAGTGCAGATTTCTGGGTTTTGAGCCTAGGGGAAAGATGCATATAACAAGAGTGGGAAGAAGTGCTAAAGAATAACTGACAGAACCTTCTGCGAATGGGTTTGAAGAACAGCCATGCGGCTGTTTTTGGACATAGTATGACTGGGGTTACTGCAGAGGATGTGCATATCACACTGGGAGAAGCAGAGTGTTGGAAAATGCATAGATGCCAACGATTGAAGACATGTTGATAAGAATACTGGCAGGGTTTAAGAGACAAGACATAGTGGGATGGCTGGGTAGATCTACCCAGCCCCAGGACCCTCAGCCTGGAGAATAAGCAGTCACTGGGGAAGAACAGCAATCTTTATGGGCCTTGTTTTGTTTTGTTTTGTAACTAAGTTCATATCAAAGGTATGTCATATTTTGGGAAAGGATGCAGAGAGCATCTGAAACTATTGACAAAGCCCTTCATCACTGGAAGGAGAGCAGGACAGGTGTAAGATGGTTCTCCACATTTTGAGCCTTTATGTTGAGAAAAATCAACCTTGTGTTGTTTTGTTTTATAATCTCTTTGGCTGATCTCATCCCTGAATTCTGCTAAAAGATGATTCCTATTTATATCTATATCTTTATATTTATGTGCACTTTGAATAAAGGAAGTGCGTTAGCCGAGAAATACATTATGGATAATGGATGTAATTTTTAAATGTAGGGCTATGCAACAAGATGACACTTATGGAAACAAATCAAAACAAAACAAACAAATGAAAAGACCTTCATCCATTCTGTAGCTTTACCTGCTGGACTTTCCTGTTTAAGGCTTCAGCATGATTGTGACCAAATGTTTTATACATTTTCCTTATATGAAGGCACAAACATTTTCTTTGAAATTTTAAAGAAAGCATTACTATTTTATTCCAAGAAGTAAAGGAGGAACAAAATATCTCTGATAATGCATGCAAACATTGTACCCACATTGGAAAACAAAAGGAAATGTCTTTCTGCATTTAATTATTTTGTCTTTTCCTCCACTCTTGCCTTTCCCCTTCCTAAACCATTTTAGATATTAAAAGTCACAGCCCCATATAAATAAGATGGCTGGAATCATATAGCCATTGTTGGCACTGGATCATTTAAATTCTTGTATAAAAGATGAAGAATATAAAGTTGTCTAATCTCCACTCTTCTCGCAGGTGGTGTTGTTTTAAATGACGATGACAATGACAGACAAGCCTGACCACAGTTGTTCATAACCCCCTTTCCATATTTTTACAGCCTCTATGCTGTCTCTCAAATGCATACATAATATTTCCCACAATTCTCATAGTGAGTTGCCAAACTTCAAATGCACCAACCAGTTTTCTGCATCCAGAACCAGTCTAGTAGTGGCTGTACTTTGAATAAGTAATGTTTGCATGTAAAATATATACATATATATATATACATATATATATATATAAAGTATGTGCATGGACAATGTTTATCTTCGTACTTTTTTGATACAATGTATTCATCAGTTGTTAATTTTTAATTATATTTGATATAAATTGGGGGTTTGTTGCAAAACTTTATATTTAAAAAAAACAGTGTTAAAAATGACAAAAGTTCCAACCATGCAACACAACTGGAGCTTTACAAAAAAAAAAGGTTCTGTGATTGCCTAGTTTGCTGCCTGAGTAATATTTATCAGCCAAACTTTGAATTCTGCAGTTGTTTCTACAATTACATTTTGTATGAAGCAAAGTCCTTGAATTAAAATAAAAACTTAGCAAAAAAACCTTACAGATCCAAAGGTGTGTGTGCCGCATGCATAGTGACTGGGAGACCAGTATCCCAAATACATTCTCGGCTCTAACGGTCTTGAAAGGAAAGAGCCACTATTAGGCAATTTGCCTTTTTAGCTTGAATCCTGTATATGCAGGTTACAATTTGTGGAGTTGAATATGTAGAAAGATTGCAGTCCTGGGATTGAATGCTGTACAGAATTTATTGTATCTGTGGTTGTTCTGATGCTGTCAACACAGGTTCTTGGGTTTTTTTGGTGACCTGTTTTTGAATTTGATGTTTCAGTAGGAAAGCTATCATTGGAGTCCAATATGCAGCAAAATTGCATTACTGAGTTTGAAAGCTGTAAGAAACTCACCACTGGTTGTTCCTTGCAGATGTATGGATGGATGGATGTTGCTGTTATGGAGCTACAGTAGTTAGGCATGTAAGTCCTATTAGCATTAATCCATCAACTGCACTGCTGCACCCCCTCCACCCGACTTCCAGCAACAAACCCCCATACAGCCCTTTCAAATATACATTCCCAGAAAAGTCAACAGAGCATCAAGGCATATCACATCTGTTTGGCAGTGTGAGATGTTTACGTCACAGGACCAACATACCAAGGTAATATATAGTACTTGTAAAGCACTTAATGAGCGTAGCTTGTATTTCTCTGACTCTCAGAGCTTGTATTTCTGCAGAAGAAAAATCCAAGGAATGTTTGTAAATATAAATGAACATCCACAAATGCCTTCTTTTCTTCTGGCAATGGGACAATCTCCCTCCTCCCTTTACTAGCTATGTAAAGCTCCCAGGCCAGGTTCTGACATGGTGATACATCTGACAACCCTCCACAAACGTCACCTGTCCTAATTCTCAGCACTGAAAACGTATTTACAACAGAAAGGAACTTCAGAAAGGAGAGGATTGTTTGAAGATCACAATTTAAGGATTTCAAGATTCATTTCTTCTTCCTCATTCCCCACCTTCTCTTCCATTTATTGTGTGTTTGGGTAGTACTTTGAGCCTCCAGCTGAGATTATGGCAATAAGTGCTGGCCAGGGACAGTAATAAATTATCTGTGCTTCAAAGAGCTTATGATTTCAGTTGACAAAGACAGAGTGATTCATACAGCCTGGCAGTGGCAGAGCAAAGAACAGAGTTGCATCTTTTGACTCCTGGTCAGGATAGTTAGTAACCCATTAGTCCATTAGCTATCTTATTGACTGCCCCAAATGTTTCATAGTTTCATAGTTGGTAGGGTCGGAAGGGACCTGAGCAGATCATCCAGTCCGACCCCCTGCCGTGGCAAGAAAGAGTACTAGGGTCAAACGACCCCGTTTTGGGTACTACATACCCCAAACAATGGTCAGAATTTGAGGGATTGTGGCATATTTTCTTACCTCTCAATGTGTCTGACCAGCAGGAGTGGAAAGAACAACCAGCTGGTTATTCTGAGACTTGGAAGTCAATTTATACTTCTTACCTCTAAGGAAAAATCCCATCGAATGCATTAAGAAAATAAATTGTTTCCCTATAGAAAATAATGAACAAAAGATGAGGTCCCTGCTATAGAGTAGTTCCAAATACACTAATAGAAGCTATATTGGCTATTAAATTGCATACAGCTTTAGCATTTTTATAAA